ATGTGTTATTTATTAGCATGAGAGGATGGGCCATATGGATAACCTTTTTTTATTTTTTCTTTCGACAATAATAGTACGCTTTAAAAATATTTATAGAGTTATCATATCGAAACATCATTATATAGGTGTACAAATTTAACTAAGAATAGAATGGGACCATGAAAAGAAATCTCATCTTAATAAATAAAAAGTATAGTATGTCTAATTGTAACATATTAATAAAATTGGTATTGAAATTCGTCGCTATTATAGAATTGTAGGATTGAGACCTTATATATTAAAGATCTATATTAATAAGATTTGACATTTTAAGGTGTAATTATAAAACTCAACACGGTATCGATGTTTAAAATCAGGGGCGGACCGAGACCATTTTTCTTGTGAGGTCAAAAATGAGAATTCAAAAATGTTTAGGTAAAAAAAATTGTGGGGGGTCATTTGATCCCATGGTGGAGCACACCTATCTTTCTTACATCAAATAAAATTTACTTACATAATACTTTATCGTAATAAATTCTCTATGCAATTGCTACATAGCCTACATTCAATTTATACAAAATATCTTTTCCTTCTGGTGAAATTATAATGTCATGCAAAAATATAATTTATTTATTCATTTAATTTATTTCCCTAAAGAGGATAAGATTATAAATGGAAAGAAAGTGAGGCGGCGGTGGTGGTAGGAATAAAACAAATCCTTCATTTCTCTTCTTCATTCAATCCATTTCAAACCTCACATATATATAGAGAGAGAATAGGCAGAAATGAGAAGCTTTAAGGGGAAAAGTGGAATATCTCTCACCCTACCGTTTAGTATTACGTTCTTAATTTTTTTTTCCCGTAGTGCTAACTTGGAATTTCTTATGCTTGTTTTGGTTCGTATTTTCAGTCCACGTATTCACAGTGAAATATTGCATGCTCGATATCATATCAATTATCTAGGGTATACCAATCTCATAATTGTTGCATGCTAGGTTTATTTATTTCTTCAGATTTTTTTTTTTATTTCCCCATGTGTTCATTTCT